AAAAAAAAAAAAAAGAGTACACAGGAAGCAAGCAGCAAATAAACCACCCAATCATGACACACATACTTGTAACCACTGCCACAAATCATGCAAATCTGATTGGACTATTCAGTCACTTGAGGCATTGCAAACCATCTACACCACAGTCGTAATATCCACCATCTCACAGATGAAAAGATGACAATCACAAGGCACTGGTAGGTTTCCATATCTAATAAAATTTTAACTTAAACTATTTTATGGGTTTAATTAAAAATTCCCAGAAGACTAATTCTATATGCATGAAGTAGGCGCTTGATCTGGGAGAGGGAAAGCCATGTTCTTTTGTATGTGATGTAGTGGTTCAATCTCTGCTTTAAGTGCAAAAATCTACTCTACCCTAGCTGTGGACCTGCAAGCAGTACTACTCACCTTTCAAAAGCTGTTCTTGGTCCCTAATATACTGACATTGCTCCCTCATTGCCTCCTCTACATCATCTCTGGTTACAACCTCCTTTTCCTCAAGCAGTTTTTCATGTTTTTTGAGGTCATTTAGTAGATCCTTTATATAACCCAGCTGTTCCTCCTTCAGCTGTTTATTCTATGAAAAAACAACAATAAGTTGTGCATTATTGGTTTTTTTATCTATTTTTTCAAGTTACAAAATTTAGAAATGGACTAAGACTTGGATTAGTACTAGGGTGCTTTGCAAAAATATCCAGCTAGACAGAGCTAAGTTGTTTATTTGAAAATGGCTTTTTTTTAGGGAAGTGGGGAAATCAATGGAAGAGAATTGTATTTTTGTTGGTTTTGTTAAGTCCTGAAAGTTCCTAAATAATTTCCAGGCCATTGTCACAAGGTAATGACTCTGATACTCTTCTTCCAGGCATTTCTATTGTGTAGAATCTACATATTGTTTTAACAATATTTTCTTGCTTTGTTTTATAAGCCTCATTTTATAGCTGGCAAACTCAAACTTACACAATGTGACCTGCCACAGTCATAGAAGGGAATTTATCAGAGCCAGGACTCCTAACGGGGACAAGGGTGACCACCTTTTCATAATGGAAAGATGGGACATATGCCTGCCTTTCCCCCCACCAGTGGCACAGCTGGAGCAGAGCCAAGTGGAGTCCACGGGCAGGGCAGGGCAGGGGCAGATGTGGGTTGCCAGGAACTCGGCGCCGTCCACTCCACCATGGCAAGGCACCCCGTCTGCCCAGCAGCAGCAGAGACAAGGGCAGTGGCGGCAGTGTGGAGTTGTGCCTCCTGCTGCGAGCAGTAGGCACCCAGCTCACACGGGGCTCCTGGGGGAAGGGCAGCAGGACAGGGAGCCCCAACCCTGCAGTGGGCAGCCCGCATCCACCCCACTCCACCTGGCTCTTCTGCAGCCATACCGCTGGCAGAAGGGGCAGGAGGAGAGGTGGGCATGTGTCCCATCTTTCCATTTTGAAAAGATGGTCACCCTACCTGCAGGGCCTGAGGAGTTTGATACCCGTGGGCAATACAATATATTAATGCATTACAGGAGATGCTAGAAATGAGAATGTTCAAAAATTTAGTTTTCTTGGCTTAAATATGGTTATAAGAGACATTCATACTTACTTACCCTTTCTCGATATTTTTCATTCTTTTCTTCCAGTTCCTTGAGTTCTAACAGAAGCCGATCAATTGCTTCTTCCTTTACCTGAATTCTGAGAAAAAAAAGGAATATATGATGAATTATTACAGAACTCTGGCAGAGAGTGGGAGGGATTATTTTAGAATATATTAGTTATATATATGGCCTGCTGCTTTTTTATCTGTGATCTCCCAATCGCTCTGCTAAGGTGGATCGGCATTGTTACCTCCATACTTCACATGGGGAGACTCAGAAATGGAGCAGTGAAGCGACTTCTCTAAGGTCTCAGAAAGAGGACCAAGGTCTCCTAACCCTGTACCTCTGTAAAAGGTATGGCTAGGACCATGCTGCCTCCCTGATAGGCTAGTGCTTTCCCATGCATATTTTTGAGTGCAAGATGGGAAACTCCATGAATGTGGATTTGATTTTTCCAAACTGTCCTGTCTCCTGCAGTATTGGCAGCCTATTTGACTTCCTGAGGCCCTTACAAACTATTCACTGTCTGTTAGCGGCTGCACTGTTGTCCGCTATGGTCCCCCAGTGCTCTGGAGGTTTGTTGTGAGGGAGTTATACAATGATTTGTACAAAAATAATTCCTGAGCAGATATTTCATCAGACAGTCACTTGGATCAGCGGGAATCATGCAAAAAGGCTGTACCCTGATGTGACCTTCCCTCCTCAGTGGCGGGAAGAAGCTTCCTTGATTTTGGAAGCAGGGACAATGGAGAGGAAGCAGCAAACTTCCTGTATTTTTCCTCACCTCTACTATCAAGACATAAGTAGAGTGGAATGTGACCATGTACTAGGTAACTTCCCAAATCACAGGAGGTTATGGTTTGGACTACCGAACTGCCACTCTGAATTGTGTTTCCTATTTTACAATTTTATTTCTATGCTAAAAGGAAAAAGAAGCATATCAACAAATCCAGGGTTAATAGCACAGCCCTTGAAAATTACTACAGTATATCATTCACTTGTATTAATTGTACCTAGACAGAAAAGTGATAGCCTGTCGCAGAGCTTGTAGGTGCCCTGCGACTGAGAGCAGAAACGGCTTGGGAGAGTCCCCTAGTGCTGGGAAGGGGGAAGCTCAGCTGCCAGTCACCAGGACTGCACAGGTGCAGGTTGCCCCAGCAAGCAGGGAAACCCAGAGACAGGAAGGGGCGGAGCATAGCCCTTCTTAAGCCCAGGCAGAAGGCCAGGAGGGGGAAGTTCCCCTCTGGCAGCTGAGGGAGAGGGAGCTCCGTTGCAGCCTAAACAAGCAGGATGGCCTGAACAGCTTCGGTGCACGGAGAATGGGAGGAGATGCTCCCTGGTAGGGACTGGGGTGATGTTTAGCCAGAGGGCTACAGTTTACGTTTTAGCCAGATGGCTTAGAGTTTATGTTGTAGCCTAGGGGCTTGAGTTTTCTGTTGTTTGTTATTACACCGGAGGACCGGGTGGGGCTATAAGGGGTTGGAGGAGGCCTCATAGGGACTCCACAGTAGCGTGGAGGTTCCTGGCGCTGGAGAGGGCGCAGCATTGTTTGGGGTGCGTGGGCCCCAGCTCTGGAGTTAGGGGGTGGCGAGGAACCCCGAGAGCGAGGGGGGGCCAAGAC